GCGGCGCACGGCGTGCATGCGGAGAGTTTGACGAAGCGCAATCACGGCAACACAAAAGCTCAACTCGTTGAAACCAAAAACCACCAGAGCGCAGGGGGCCTTGTGGAATCGAAAGGTCAGGTGTCTGGAATATCGACCAACAGGGGTGGGGGGGCAGGGGCTACCCCCCCATGCGACCCTCAACAAGAATTCCCGCTAGCTCCAAGGAGCTAGCTTTCGTGACTTGTCCAGGATTGCCGAGAACATGGCAGAGGCGGGCCAGTGCCCTTGCTCGCATCCTCCGGCCTGACACAGGTACCTGATGCATCCCAGTCCCGTCAAACACGATGCTCTGGAGATGGTATCGTACGCACTGCGCCCATCCAGCGATTTGCCCTCAGCGCAACCCTGATGCGGACAGCAAACGCGTCCGTGCCTGCCCTTGCCTGCAGCGCGTATTGACACGGGCGCGTGGCCTCGTCGAAGACGTTAGCCAATTGCTTGGCGACCCCACGAGACACGAGGTGGCGGAAAAGATCGCCAGTTGCAATGCCTCGGACGACTCCCGCTAGTTAACGCAGGGCCGTAAAGCGGGCCATACCAGTTGCTTGGCCGATGTTAGCCGGCACCTGCGCGCTCACCAACTGCGTTGCTGCCCCAGCGAGAAGTTCCAGGGCCTCGACGTCGCCCGGATGCAGAGAAGCGCACCCCAAACAACCGCGAGGCAAGGTACTACAACTACCGTACCATGATCATCGAGTGAGATCCAATCATGTCCGCTGCATTTTTTCTCTGACCTCTTCTCGGGACAAGTCTCTCTGAGGGCTCCAAGGCCTACTTGTACCAAGCTCAATGCCAAGCACCACAAGCCGACACCGTTGACCGGAAGCAAGCTCTGGGTATGTCCGGGCTTTGGCGGGTTCAGTGACACGCGAAGCTGCCCAAGCTGTGTGGCCCGTCTCGGCGTGGCATGCCCAATGTCTCCCGACCGACTTTGGCAGCCGCTTGCTCAAGTGGGCACCCCTGCGAGCCGAGCTTCGGCAGGCGAAGCCGATGCAAAAGGAGAGCTCGGAACAGCGGAGTCCAGAATGATTTCAGGCGAGGTGGTCCATGCAGTCAACACGTCGGCTGCATACGGTCCAGCCTGACTGAGTAGGGCGGTGGAGGAAGCATCAAGTTCTCACAACATGGCTTGCTGGCAGAAACCCTCGACGGTTTTGGACGCTGCATGCCAGCCACGACTGCTGTCGAGCTGCAGAGATCTTCGGCGAAGAGCTTGGCCAAAACGACCCTAATTGGCTCTAACAAGCTATGCTGATATCGAATCACGCTTAGGATGTGGCACGGACGTCAGTTGTTAGCTCATCCACAGAGGTCCTTGAACGACCCACGTTCATGGTCGTTATCCCAACAAGCGAGAACAAACAAAACAAGAACCAACATCACACAATCACTGCCTGAGCAAGTCACTCATGCACAAAGGTCATAAATGCCCTTCTCAGTCAGAGCATGGACCTGGGTCCAAGTTCGAAGCTCGCACGCCGACGCCTCAAACACGATATTGCGCAAGATGTCGCGTGCTGTGTTCATGGCCGGCTTTATGCTGAAAAGCGTTTCCACGCCAAGCACATTTGATCTCCGAGCCTGCTGTCGGTTGCGACGGTGCTGCTAAGAATAGGCGACACATTCCAAGAGTGCATGTCAAAGGGAGTCAGGGCCATTGGCGTAAAATCGACATGCGTGAAGTGAAGTATCACACCGTTGCGATGACGTGCAGCGCGCCCGTCCAAGAAGTCATGATGTCCACACCACGCTAGACCCCGGAATCTGGCAGCCACGGGACAAGCACGCCTGTGAACGACCCTGTGCAGATACGCTCGTGCCTGCACTCCAAGGAGTCATTAAGTTGGAATGCCGAGTCACGGCATCGCGTACATGACGCAACCAAGACTTCACACAACCGTTTGGGTTGTTCCGGCGGCGACGCCCCAGTTTGAGGGAGGAGCTACTCCAATCCGAGCGGTCTGCACAATGCCACGTCGGGCTGGTTGGAAGGCCCGGTTGCCGACCTCGCTATCCGGAGCGACTTGACTTGACAACATCCGGGTGGATCCCGCCACTGTTGCACACACGAGTCCTAGCCGGGTTGAAGTGAACCGCATAATGGTGCGGGCAAGCGGCAGCTGTCGCGAGAACAGCTGAGCCAAGGTAAGGTGTGGGGCAACAAGTCTCTCAGCTTGTTAAGTGTTAAGTTCGGAGGAGATCCCTCAATGTGGCCGACACACCATGCTGACGGCCCACGCGTGCGCGTCGTGCGCACCCATACGAGCCCAGTAAGGCATGAAATGGATGCTGTCCATAATGTCTCCACCGATCTTTTCAGATATGTTCAAGGCCAGAGTCCGGGCTGCCCCTTCAAGTTGTGATCTATCTTGTGTACCCCATTCTTGCGAAGGAGGGGAACTGCAATGTCACGATTCTCATGCGATGAAAACTCTGCAGATGTCGTACCGTAAAAGCTGCCCTTGGCGCAGGGTGCTCCACAGAACCGGGGCATTTCAAAGAGGCCAGCGTATCTGTCATCCACGACCGTGCGGGGGCCAGCGCTTACTTGCAAACTCTGCAAACTCCCAGCCGCTGCCGTCCAGCAACTGTGATCTCTTTGGAACGAGGCATCCAAAGCTTGCTCGTGCGACGGTTTTGCATTGGCGTTCGGACTTGTTTGTGGGTCTTCGCATTCGTGTCTCTGTCTGGGATTGCAAATGCTGACAAGCCTCCTGAAGTTTGCCAACCCGTCTGTACCCCGCAAAAGGTCTCCACACATTGCAGCGGGTCTTCGAAGGTGGACTTGAAATCACCCAACCTGGAATCGAGACCCCGAAATTTCTTTCTGGAGGTTGTGGAACCGAAGTTTTCAAAAAGCTGTGGTTTGGCCACTGAGCTTGTGCATCACGCACCTCATGCTTGACGGTAGTGCTCCATCCACGTGGCACAACGTTTGTTTTTTTCCGACGGTGTTTTCCGAGATCCAAGCGCAGCCCCACCCCCGGCTCAACGTCGCAGCGGAGCTGGGAAGCTCAGCGAGTGGGCGGCCGACTGGGTGTTTGTAATGCTGGCGAAACCCAGGAAAACCAAGCTTGTGCATGACTACAAGCCGATCGATACGCTGTGGATGTTCGTTTTACCAATTGTTCCTTTATGTGGCGACGCACCCACCTCCACAGAAAAGCATGTTGCCACGGTTTCGGGAACTTTGCCACTTTGACACATCTCATCGCGGATGATACTTTGCTTGTTGGTTGATCTTGCCGCAACAAAGCATAGAAATGATAAGATTATTGGGTTTATGTTGACGATTGTGTGCGACCAATGTGCGACGAATCGGCTCGGTATTCAATGCTTCCAACACCCAAGTTGATGACTACCCCGGTCCAACCATCTGATCGAGTTTGGCCTGATGGAAACCTTGGACATGTACTGACTTTTACATGGCACCTCCACTCCCGGGCCCTGACTGGGCTTAGTTTGGCAATGTTTGGCATGAGATCATGCAGGAAAGGAATCAACACGTCCATCCAAGTTGTAGCTGTCTTGAAATGCTTTCACTGTCTTTCACTGTTCAGGAAGGTTGCAACTGCAGGTCTCAGTGGAGCAGACAGCTTGGCTGAATATGTAAACATCGTGACGTGACTCTATTCGACTGGACTTGAATTGACCGTGTCCGCAGGCCTTGCCATGATGTTGCCACTGCGCAGTGACAGCCTAGATGGGTATGTGATGGTGCATCTTGTCAGTGTATCCCCGGTGCTGAAAGACTGCTGAACGTCTTGTTCCTCAGACCTTCGTGGTAGGCGTCAAAGGGCTGCTGTGAGCAGCCAGCCGCACACGGGTCTATGACCGCAGTGGCAGTGCTAACGCCGCTCCAACCTTCTGGCAGAGCTGCCCTTGGAGACAGACGAGCAAGAGGTGCGCTGGCGGCACTCGGCAATGCAAAGTGCGGTGCCGTGCGTGTGGCCCTGTTCATATGAGGGGCCGGCGTCAAATCACAGCACAATGCTCCTTCGCGTGGCGCGGCGCGAAGACATCCGACGGAGGAGGGGGTTCATTGGAAAGCCGACGGTGGATCGAGGGAGATCTTGACATGCGCACGTTGTGTGCTCTTGATATGCGCATGGTCCTTGCTTTTTTGCGTCGCAACTGGCTGGGATCTGCAATATCTGTAGCCACTCGGCCTGCAAGTGCCCAGCCAAGAGGCACCCGCAGTGCGGAGGCCGGAGCGGTGCACAGCCCGACGGGAGGCGACTGGCGAGACCTCTTCAATCCGCCAGGCCATTTTCGAAAGGCCAGTGGGTCCCCACCAACATTCGCAGTGCCAGCACACATACGCCGAAGGCCGGCACGACCGCGAAAGCAAGAAAGGGAGGCCGTCGGCTTGTGAAGCAACCGCGGCCCGTACAAGGGAAGGAACAGTTTTCCATTCGCTCGTTATTCCAAGGCTCTCCTGCCGCGCAAGCTCCAGGCTCGGAGTGGAGTGGCCTTTGCAACCGATAGGCGCCCTATTTTCGTGTTTTTGTTCAAGCACGTGTTGTTCGTCGCTGGGTCTCGTTGCCAGCTCTTGAAAGGTAAGTTTGCCACATGATTCAAGCTGTCAACCAGCCAGAGTTGCGCAACTACCGGCCCCGGAAAGCTCGCTACACAGAAATTGCCGCCAGGTCTGTAGGCCAAGCGTGAAACGCTTCTGCCTGGAGCCTCGTGCGGGACAAGGGGATTCCGCTTGCACAAGAACGCATTACCGAGCTCAGCGTCGTCAGCATGCTGCAGGGCCGGGGGAGTCGGCGGCACGCGACGTGCTAGAAGCAACGCTTGGTGCCGGCGCACATCAGACCCAGGACTCTTCACGATGCTTGTTCCAGATCTTCATGTGAGGGCATGAGCGAGCTTGCAACAGTGGCTGTGTCAAAGGTGCTGTAACATACTGACTCATTGTGATAATACATGACGAAAGGCAGGGAAGACTCGGCCTCTGATGCATCTGCGCGATGCAACGCTGCTGCGAGGCGTGAGCGAAGGTCCTACGATAACATGCTTCTCATGGCAACCACAGGAGCAAAGACTCTGCGTGCAAAAGAAAGTGGCCCTATGTACAACATGGGGCATCTGCAAGATGGTACCGGTCACTAGACTGATACTATGCTGGACAAGCCTCGGCTTGAGCTTCCAGTGCCTGTCGCGGGGCTGCGCTACAGGGTGTCAAGTCAGCGACGTCGCAATTGTCCTGACTCCTGCCTTCACACTCGCTGCGTCTGCCAGCCCTTGGCTGATCGGATCAGTTCATCAAACTCTGCCTACATGCTGCCCAGAAATTTTTGAAATGTTTTGAAAAAGTATGCCAAAGCATAATGGCATGATATGGCCATCTTGCGCCAGTGACCGTGGCGCAGCTAACCAAGCCAGCGTTGCAGTCCAACTAAGAGCTCACTCCGAATAGAACTCGGTGTCAGCTGGCTGCAACACTCGATGTTAACGATTGAAGCAGTCAAGCCACGCATTTCCTGCGCCATCTTCGTAGCAAGTGCCGTGGGTGAGCTTGTGTCGACACCATCAGCATATGGGGCGCCACTGCGTCCTGCACTGTCAGAGTGATGGGTTCAGCTGCAGCAGACGACGGCGGGGACTGCAAGCATCTCGTCCTTCAGCCCGCTGCGATATCAGCCGAAGGTGCTTCAGAGCAACCTCCCAACATGAATAAAGATGTGCCAGCAAAAAAGCTCAGGCACCCGGAAAACTCCGACGACCGATATCTTCTACTCGATGGCACTCCACACATGCCTTGATTCTGGCCTGGCTGCGGTCAAAGACCACAGTGCCTTTGCAGCAATACAACTACACGAGACAGCAAATGAGCGCGCTGGAATGCACTGATGTAACGGACGAGTTGCAATTGCGGCATTCCGCATTTATCTCCAAGACTGTGCCCTCGTCACCTGGTCCACTACACCAAAACACTTGGACAGACACCGCCCCGCCGGGCATGGCCTTCTTCGAAATCTGCGAAGTGTCGCCCGCGAAGCACACGGACACGACATCCAACAGTGAAGCTGCTCATTCGCACATGTTTGCTAAGCCCGGGAGAATCCACCAGCACACGGCCAAGTGCCGGCCATCCATCGAACTGCCGACGACACGGCTAGGTAACATTCAAAAGATCTTAGTTTTGCAGTCATTGGCCAGCTGTCAGCGAGCTGTATGCCGAAGCAGTTGGATGCGTTCGCACTGCCAACGACAAATGATCAAAGGGCAGTCGGGCATGAAACAGAATTGCTGAGACATGTGCGCACGTGCCGAAGGCTAGGCAGCGTGTCTTCCAGCGCTGCTTGTGTTGGCATGCTTATGTTTCTCCCTGCCACCGCTGATACAGTTGCTCCTAATTCTGATTGTGGGTTCATGTGCTGCGATAGAAAGCGGCGAACCTGCAGGTCTACGAAACAACACACAAGGAGCTGGCTGATAAAGTTGAATCTTGGAAATGCGTGTCTAACCCCAAACCGTCCGATGAACTCCACAGCAGGAATGTGCAGGAAGGTGCTGTTCACAGAGATGTTCGAGGCTGTGCTCAGATGCTCTTTGGCAACTTGTGAAACTTCGCTCCAAGTCTTTGGAATATCTCCAAGTGGAGCAGCTACGGCCTGGAAAAAGCAAAGGCCACAGCGGCGCAAATGCTGTTACTCAAATCTCTCCCTGAATTTGCACTTGCATCTTCCGGAACTCCTGCCATGCTGCTCGCAGCGCGTGGCACGAGTGCGGCACGAGTGCGGCACGGGCACTCCTTCAGCATGTTCTCCCAGTTGGAGTCTTTCCGCGTTATGTTGGCACAGTTCATGACGACCTTATTCACGAACACAGTCCAGCACGCTCGAATAGCCATCTCCGCTGAAAAGTGAATGGAAACACGTTGCAGCATGCTTATGCTGTGGACGGTTTCAGAGTAAGTCCTTGGCCTTCCGGAACCGTGTCTTCAAGTGTGCCATCTGCTCAATCTCTGGCACGCCCAGCATCTGCACAAGTGGTGAACATCATCTACAAACCAACGATACGACAGGACCAGCTCCGCCAATTCTGCAAGCCCTCCCGCCAGCCGTGTGCGACTATCTGCCTTTGGAACAAGCTCTTGCTTGTGATGTATTCTCCCTGCGAACATCAGTACTCAAAAGGACACGGCTGGAAGAAGCAAAACCCTCCTGCGCCATGACTCCCTGAGCATACTGAGATGTGCAGGGCATGCCTTAACTTAACAGCTGGCACCCAGCATTACATCCCGCACAGCTTCGGCTACATGCACCAAGACACCCACTGCAAACGCGTGCAGCCACACGCAGTCACACAATCACACATGTGGGCATGCATGCACACAAAACAAGCAAACAAGCACGTTTGTTTAAAAATATCATGATTCGGTCGGCCGTGCCTTGGAAGTTCTCCGGTCCCCCAGAAGAAATTGATCGCCAAACATAAGAACGTCAAACTTTGTGCCACACATGTGATGAAGCTGAAAACTTGTACCCAAGCCGCAAACTGACAACGGAGCTTTTACAATAAGTTTGACGTCTCAACCTCATGTGAGACAGACCCCACCTCGAAGAGCGCATTGTCATTTTGCTCCTGGTCGACAATAAAACACAGTGTGGAAGAACAGAACAGAAAGAATCAATTCGCTGATGATGACCTCTTCTTCATTGCGCGTGGCATCCTCCGTGTTCCGATCCACATTCAAAACCTTCATTTTCATTTCACGAGGGCCTGTTCCACCTCACAGCCATTGCAGTCTGAGGCGACAGACCAGAAAGAACACGGAGACCCGCAGCTCGTCCTGGCATCGTTTCCCCACCCCGTGCCCCCAGCATCAAAGGCAGCACCGGGCAGCTTGAGCTTGGGAGCATTTCTGTGCTGCAAGCCCCGACGCAGAAAACACCGGTAGCAACGTGCGGACTGGCATTCATGCAGGGAGCACTACAAGAACTCCTCTGAAGATCCCTTAACGAGACGGAGCCTCATTGAGGAGGTGGAAGAGGCAATCCCTTGCCTCCGGGTACAGGTGGCTTGCACAGCACATCTGGTGTGATCGGGTCGGTGGCAGGCGAACAGTGTACGCTTCCTTGCTCAGACTGGACAGTGATCACGAGCCTCAAAACTTACATCGCGAGCGGAGAAAACACGACATGGACCGCGATGACTCGCCAGAGCCCTTCTCCGATGTCCATCATGGAATCGTTTGAACTGACGGAGAGGGATGGTTCCACTACTTTTGTGGACAGAACCGACCAGTTTGTGCGATCAATGTGTACACCTGCAGAGTAGAAGCCTCTATTACCTGAGAGGGAACAATCATACGCTTCTGCAGCACACTTGACAAACGGGGAGCGAGAAAGCTAGAGCAGAGGACTGCAACCGCAGTTTTTTTCACTGAGGCCGCGCAGCCGGCGCGTAGCTGGACGGCGCGGCACAGGAACTCATGCAATCCATGCAGGTTTTCTTCCGATGTTGCAGAAATTTGCTCCATTAAGTTAAGTTAGATTGGCGAAGCTTTCGTGATGGGCTTGGTCTCGAACGTAGCATGTTAGGTGCGCCGGCTTCAATGCTTCCATGCCTTGTCGGCCGCGGCTCTTGGCCCTGAAGTGGCAACTGCGCCACATGCGAATGTAATTTGTCTTGAAGCAACTTAGCTAATTGCTTCAGGGTCAGACGTGACGTAAGCCGACTCGGCCATGTAGACTCGGCCATGCAACAAAGTGCAACAAAGCGCAACTTAGCCATGTTGCTT